TAAATTGATACCAACTATAATTAGATTACGAATTTTCTTGTTTCAACTGTTTTGTCCACTACTCGTATGCAAACATAATTTACGTTTATAGTGAATGTACAGTATGTAAACATACTTGGACACTTTAATATCCCATCTACAGCATACGTCAATATATATGGACTGTTTGTGTATACTTGCATATATACGCGCGCACCACACGTACACACAAACATGCACACACGCTCACACGGGGTTTTTGTGGCATGATTGGGCACGGGGTTACCCCTTGTACACAATCGCCACAATGATTTGCGTGCTGAAAACATTTGGGGCAAAAGTTATACTGTTCAGGTTACGAGATGGGAACAATTACCCAAACACTGATGGACATCTCTTCAAAATTATATTTAGGGAAATTAAAATAAACATGAGGTTTTTTGGATTAGATCGCATAAATATAAATGTTGTTAAAACCTGCCACCACCCGATACAGCCAATTATTTAACCCCAAAATAACCCAATGAATAATATTGGTCGCGAAAGCCTACGTATTAAACTAGAAATAAACATACAAACCCATTAAAAAAAATATGACCTTCTTAGGCCGACACCTAGATCCTTATAGCCACATCAAGGTCATGCCTAGGCTTACAGATAATGGCGTAAGGTGTATCCTTCTGGGGTTATTCAGGTACCTCGGACTCAAAAGCTGAAAAACCTTCCTCTACTGAGACATTCAAAGTCCCTCGGGCAAGTGTGTCTGAGAGAGTTAATACACATTTAACTGGCTTGCCATCAATGCATTTGTCTAGCGATCTAATGCATTGGCCTTTGCTGAAATGGGTTTTGGCCGTCCCGCGCAAACGGAGCCCCTGGTGTTCCCACGCCATCGATTTGGCTGATTGAAATAAACCTGCCGATGAACGAACATTACCTATTTCAATGACGGCGTTTGGGCGATGGTGGTGGGGGGAGATGAAGGGTAAGGGTGGAGATGGATTTAAAGGGGTCAGTACTCCAATGCCTGAGCTGTACTGAAACAATCCCTCCACAGCCACGTCACGAGGGACTTGTACGCACCGCTTTACGTGGCGACGCAAAATAAAGTAAGCGATGTTGTGCCGCTGGGACCCCCCACGACATACGTAGCACAGTTAAATCACAAAACGGCCTTTTATACGGAATAGCGCTTTAATCAACCTCTGCACATACATCGCTCATGAATGAATGTGCCTTGTGAGAATTCCCGCTGCCCGGCTCTGTTAAAAACCACCATCTGTCCAACAGAAAATTTGACCACGGTGGGTCGCGTTATGTTGATGGATGTTTCCTATCAAGGGGACTTAATGCCTATTGTCAACAGTAGTAATTTGTGTAGACAGCTGAGGGCTGCAGGCATACAAAGACACAATCTGGTTTTCTTCTCGGTGAAAAACCGTTTTCTATATTTGTGAATGAAAAATGCATAACAAGGTGCAATTTTGGTTAAAAAATTCAGCTGAAAGGATGTCATCAGGATGAAAATGATAGCGAAAGTCTTGGAATACACGCATCACTAAATGAAGCTATCGAAAGTCCTTACTGCTCCAAAAACAAACCAACCCTCCAATGCATATACTCGCTATTTGGCATTCTGACATGAGGCTTTGCGTCACATGGTCTGGTGAAAAATAAAGACATGGGCTCCAGAGGGGATGGAGTCACTCACAAATGAGCTATCTGCCAATAATATTTGATTCTGGACCAATGAAAATAAGTGAAAGCTCGATTGAACTCCGATGCAGCGGGGTGATGCAGAGAGTGCATGGCAGACTTTCCCTTTGTAGGCTGAACACACGTTCGCCAGTGCAGCCTTGACTTTGTCTTTTAGCAAAAGACTTCAGTGAAATCACTGCAAATTAGGCTAAACAGAATGTCACTGAACCACCATGAATACCTCCTTGCTTTGAACATTCATAAAATGTCAGTAGCAAGGTGTAAGACGTTGCTGCCTGCTGCGCATTTTAATTCCAGCGCGGGTGAGGAGCGTGGTCAATTGGGTCTCGGTGATAAATGGACATCTTTTAACTGCGTTTTTGAAAAATGCAATCGCCCGAAATTACATGTCCCATTGTTAAGAGTCTTGATTTAAGTCAATAGCCTGCTTAGTTTGACCAAAAGCATCTCCACCTCATTAAAATATTGCCATACTCAAAGGAAAAAAAATGAGTTGGTGCTATTTAAAACCAATATCCACTGCAACACAGAAGTTAAGTGTACTGTGTACTGCCTTTACAGTTTTGAAAGTCCCACCCTATGCTGCGAGGCAGTACCGGCTAACAAAGAGCAACTTCCACCTTCCAGCATGTTTCTTGAGTGTGTCGCTTCGCCCCAGTGTCACTCCGATCGTGATCTCGTTATCAAATCGGGAAACAAAAATAACCATTCTAGTGTCCCATAGAGCAGTGCATCCTGTCGGGTTAGAGAACGGCCCACAGAAGTGAATATTACAGAGCTACCTCAAGAGATTCCTTCAAGTGACCTCTGGTCCACAGTGGAGGGTGGCAATGTTTGCCACATGACAGTCAAACCGATAATACATGAAATCTTGACTTAAAGCGTTCGTTACTGCAGGAATTAATATTACTTGGGTCTTTCGGTAAAGTAACGTAGATAGGTTCAAAGAAAATAACAAAAAACTACGACGATTCGATCGCAAAACAGGATGACGGCCGCTTGTGTTCCGATCGAAATGTCGTAGTTTTTTGTTATTTTCATTGAACCTATCTACGCGACTTTACCGAAAGACCAAAAAAATACGTTAATACATTCTCGGAGTTGGAATTTAATCCAAATTAAGTGGGAAACTAAATGTAATGTGATGGATGTTTTCGCACAATCATTGACCATTGAAGAGACTATCAAATCACTAAATTTACTTCTGCCGAATGTTGTCTCGTAGCTGACGTCACGGGGCTACTAGGGCTTGTGGCTGCGACTTCACTAGTGGACGCTATGATGCGGTTTATGAACGTCATGTAGCTATGACTTGAATTATTTGAACGTGATTGAATATTCAAACTCTTAACATGCAGCTTAGGTACAAAGCAATCACTGTTTATGGTTTGGGTTGTCATCTTTTAATGATTTCCAAATAAATGAGTAAAATAATAGTACATTGTTATACTGCGTCTATAACCACTATCAATATGATTTCCAAATAAATGAGTAAAATAATAGTACATTGTTATACTGCGTCTATAACTACTATCAATAAAAAAGTAATTCAATTTTCTATCTATTGATTACAGATTTAAGGGAAAAAGCCACGCAGATCCAATTTCCATCCCTTGGGCGAAAGCGTAAAGATTAATTAATCGTGGGTGTTAAAGGTTAATGCACGTTTAGGTGCCCTGTGAGAGATTGATAACTAATGGTGACAATGATACCCCATTATGCCTTGAATCAGTGCCAGGCAGAGGGTTCAGAAGGACAGGTGATGAACTTATAACTCCATGCGGGCGTGTGACATTGGCAAAAGTATATTCGAGTGTATGACGTCCCAAACTAGCATTTTGCTTTCATCTCAACTGTATAATTTGTCCATTCACTTTTACTCGTGCTCTAGTCAGGTGAGTGCACATCTGCGCACAGACGCACAACAGCCCATTTACCATGATTGTGGCAATGATGATGTGGCATTGGTAGTGGGAACACAAAGAAAATATGGCCAGGCAAATATAGAGCCAGCCCCACCACTGTTGTTCATCTTGTTGTTTATAATAGGTGCTCATTATAAGCTACTTGCCCCTCGGTCTCTCTCGTATAAGAGATGGTTATTTGTGTGTATGTGTTATATATATTTTCGGGCCTTCCCCAGGTTGACTCAGCCTTAAACAGGCACCTGCTATGGTTTGTTAACATCGGCATTGGGGAGACGCATGCATGGTGTGTCGGCCACACCACCCTGTTGGCCTTGTTGGATGCTCACCGCCAGCAATTGTCCCTCTGGTCTATGAGAAAACAAGATCTTTGCCCATTTTAGGCAATGTTGTACAATGCACTACAACCATCATCGGATTCTGTTTCTGAATATGGTTTCAGTTAAAGATCGATATCTTGGAATATAGAGGTGAAAATACTCTCATTATGTTAACTGAAACATAGAACTGCATTGGCAGTAGTTTATAAGCTCAGGCCAAAAAAAAATAATCACAGCCATCATTTAACACTGCCCGAGCATCAGAAAAATATAGATAACATTTTGGCAATGGCCTTTTCAGATCTCTCTCTCTCTCGCCTCACGAGGGTCACATACAATCATCACATCTCACGATGAGATGTGGTCAGAACTCTGTGGTCCACGTTCCACAACAGCAGTGCTCCAAATCCTTGGTTCTGAGGCCACATTTTTCTGTCACAGTCAGGCCAAGTGTGTTAATGGCAAATGCGGTGAGATTTTCTCCGGTCTTACACCAGTGGCTAGCTAAGTACGGAAGAGTATTTGCAAACCCCAGTGTACACTGCTCTACGACACTGAAATGCAACGATCGTATAAAGTGATTATATTTCTGGCAGGTGATTGTAGCGAGTTAGGTTTTAATGGAGATAAGCTTCAATAGGACTCAATCAAATACACACAGGCACAAACCTAACTGCTTTAATAACACCACACTGGCTTTATTACGGGATGGAGAAAAGCAGAACGACAATGGGCAATGCTTCGAGGCACCCACAATGCCTGCTCTTCCACACACGTCCCCCTCAAGCCAACCACCTGCCACAGCTCCGGTTATTCTTTCCCCCAAACGTCATGGAGCAATCCGTTTAAATAAGAAGAGCATGAGAAAAGTGACCTTGTTGACATTACCGTATACCTCTTACATCGCGCGGGACTAAACGGGACTGGGCGGTCTGCTGCCCCCCTCCCCCCGGCTATCTTCATCGTTAATTACAACTCTGAATTGAAAAGGTAAACGAGCTTTACCCTACAACACCTGCCCCCATCCACTGCACCCCCACACCCCTCACCCCCCCAATGACCGCAGCACCCCCACCCCAGCTCCCCACTGCTCTCCACATCCCTAAAAATCACAGCCTCATGTACTCCCGAGGGAGAGGTGGGGAGGTGATTAATGGGAAGCGGCCAGCAGAGCTGATGGCTGGTTTTGTTTCATTTCCACGAGGTGCGATTAAAGGATCACGCAGCAGCTGCTCTCCTCCGTCTTGCCACGGTTCCTCTGACCTGAGCACAGAACAAAACAGGGCCGTTGTGCCATCATTAGCCGGGCATTGAGATTACGACAACGACGCATTGCTCGTGTACTTGTGTTTAGGTTGTTGTCCTTCCCCTGGCACCTCCGATTAGCACGGTTGGCTCACGTACGGTGCGAAACAAGTTCAACATACGTACCGTGCAAACAAGATGCACGCTCTTTTGAATAATTGCATGTTTATATGTATTCATATTTACACTGCCTATGAGCAAATCACCCGGAATGTGCCAGATCCCATGAGAGCTTGGAAGCTCAGCTGGATCGACCTTGGATAGCGCTGGGTTGGGCGACCACCTTGTATAACATAGCCTGTTGCTGTGGACCTACGTTGTCAGCAGAGGGCAGTGCAGCAAAACCCATTGTGCTTTGCCGCGTTCCAACATCCATGCTGCCCATCTTCGCCAACCTGCACTGACCAGCGTGGTGAAGTATGGTGAAATGACTCCTCCCACGAAAACTTGCATGTTGTGGTGTGGCTCTCATCCAGTAGTGCATTGAAATGACAGTTGTACATGTGCACGTACATGCACGGTGTAACGAGTAAATTCCTTTGCCTCCTCTCGTGGGTTTCGTGCCAATCTCTACGGGAAGCAAATTACTTGATTCAATGTTGATGGAAACCACAATTAGACGTTTTTAGCACTAAACATAATATTTGAGTGCCAAAATATATACATTTTTTGTTTTACAATTTGTTCTAGTTACAAGCAAAGATTTGACTTTTTGTGTAAAAAGTTTAGCTCTCTGGCCCTTCCAGAATGTAAATCAAATTTATATCGGTGACAGCCACAATATGTATAGAGTATGTGCCAGTTGGTTGCTTGTGTCTGTTAATTAGTTGCATTTATTTAAGTCGATACCCAATAGGAACAGCAGTGCAGCATGGCTGGGCTCGTGGGTGGTTATGCTTCCGCTGCGAGTGAGGAGGGCATGTCATCAATGGCAACTCCATGACCCCAGACATAAGGGGCTTTTAATTATGCTGCCACTGTGACGAGAGCACTTTTGCAAAAAGGGCTAGGCGTTTCTGGTTTATATACCGACGATTGTTGCTTTGGGAATAGGATTAAGACAAATTAGCCAGGTAACCACTTTCAGGAGGTTGATGGAGTTTAGTGGCTTGACGCGACGTGTTCCTGCGATGTCATGAAGGGATGCTCTTTTAAGTTCTACGTATCTACGTTGAAGGAAAATTAAGATTTTGACGAAACGGTAAAGTGCAAGCTGATGATGGAACAAGCTGACTTGGGCAATTTGACATGGAAATGGCATGGGGTCAAATGTGAAACACGATGACACTTCAATTAACAGGGGTCTGGGCGCAGGGAGAAGCCACGCATGCATATAAGTGTACATATTCATACGCATGCACATGAACTTGTGCATACACACAGGCGCATCATGTGCTTTCATTACTCTGGTACTTATATTTTGCACAACGTATTGATGTCTGCTATGTACAGTAAAACCTTGGATTGCGAGCATAATTCGTTCCGGAAACATGTGTGTAATCCAAAGCACTCATATCAAAGCACTCGTATGTCAGTTGTGATCACGTGACGTTGGCAGACAAAGCGTATACGTCCTACTCGTATTGCAAGACCTCGCTCGTTTATCAAATGATTATTTATTTAAATTTTTTGCTCGTCTTGCAAAACACTCGCAGACCATGGTAATCGGAAGTGCTATCTATTTGCATTCATTTTATGTAACAAAAACAATACATTTCAGACCACCAATGGATTAAGACCTCCCACACCATGTTGGTCATGGGTTGTTTTTTTACCATTTTTCATCACGCTGGTAACGGTAAGTTATTACAAAGGGTATGGTGGGGGTTAGGCCATGAACAGTTGTGATATTGCTGCCACTGATATTAGCCGTGATCGGGAATCAAACACGGGTTGCTGGGTTTGTAGCACCGCGTGCTAACCAATCGACCACTATTCCACTCTTCCATTTTTTGTAACTATTATTTATGTGCAGCAGTGGAAACCAGAGACGATGCAGAAAGCATTTGCATGTGAAGAGCTAATGATAAAATGGTCCTGATCAGTTTGTCAGATAATGCTACTGCAGAAATGAAACAATGAGGGCAGTTACAACCATGGAAACGCTATCTTAATTTACGGATGAGAGAATTGGACCGATGATATATTGTCATGAGAACACAGAAAATGGGGACATGAAATATTAAGGATTACTAGTGGCCAGAGTAGGAGCAATCGATAACATTGCCATTTATATCCAATGACAACCTAAATGACAACTTAAGTATAAAAAAATGCAGAGGCGTTCATTACTAAGCTGCAACTACGATAGTGTAACTGGTGAAAAATATTAGTCAAGAGCGGGCCAAGTTGTACAAAAATGGATTATGATCTCCATAGACCCAACTTGACCCTGCTCAGTGCGACCCTGAGAAAGTGGAGACTTGCCAAGTCCTTAGTTGGGTAGTTAACCTCATCCTGACGTATCACACTAATCCATGTGAATTTCAAATGATTAAGTCTTACTTATTAGCAATAATGAGTGTGCTCACTGCTGGCAGAGAGTGCAGACTACCTATGTATCCATTCTTATGATTTCCAAAATAAACTTTTGACTGAACAAAGTTACTCATGCTGGGAAATTACAGTGCAACAGAAGCATCTCCCTTGTGCATAATTTATCTAGTTATTTCTTGGTGATGTTTTTTTACATGTAATATTTGGATTGCAAACAGCCATGAGAATTAGGTAATGCCAGAAGTGTGATGTCTAACGGTCTGCACGAGCGATAGTGTCATGAGGCTGCCTACGTTTCCAATGATGAGCAGCCCTATCCAACACGATAGCTTGGGGAACAGCAGCTGCCAAATAAAACATTCCTCGCTTGTTTTGTCAAATTAAAGTATTTAAGACGAAAACAAGGAACGGAGAGCAAGTAAGCCTTCATGAAAGTGAAAAAACTACCAAGTGCTTCCCTGTATTTAAAAATCATAATAAAAGTTCACGAGAGTGCTGACCAGGGTATATTTTTCTTTCCCAGTGTCAAAAGGGCTTAAAGTTTAAAGCTTCATATCGCACTGTAATGAAAATAAATGATACGGTGGGAAAAGGTGATAAATGACTGCCGACGTGAATTGCCAAATCATGCTGGTAAAGCTTTGGAAAGGGACAAGATCCACATTCTGAACAATGAAAATAAATACTCTGGTTCTTTATAAAATTAAATAAATTAAATCACGACGCTTTGGGCGCAACACAAGCGTCCGTCATCAGGTGGGACAACCACAGCAAGAAACAACTGCTGAAGTGGGCAAGAGGGCTGCTGTGACAAGAGGCTATATAGGTAAGAGAGGGGGGAGGAGCCAGGGAGGAGAGATAGAGAGGGGGGTGTGGGGTAGGGCGAGCAAGGAGAGCAAGGCAAAATGCCGGGGGGGGGGGGGGGAAGTGAGCGGGGCTGGGAGGCTGAAGAAACTGGAGATGTGGATATGAAGGAAACACCATAAAGCAGTTAAGGTTTTACCTGGTTAATAACATCCTGCCAATGATTGCTCAATTTGTATCCATCTTCTCAGTTTAAGTTATATTTATATATCTCGTTTTATTTATTTTCTTTGAACCTATCTACGTGAATTTACCGAAAGACCCAAGGAATATGAAAACATTTTTTGGTGGAATAGAGGTTTTTGCTGATTTAGCAATTTATCCATTAATATGAATTGTTCAGCTCATAATTCTTGTACTGAATTGTGCGTGAGAATAAATGTTTTTCAATTCCTGTGCATTATATGTTTGATGCGTAAAAACTGCCGGATGGATTATTACACCGCAGGATCATGAGGGATGGTGGCACGCTTAGGGAGGCCTTCATCCAGCAGTGGATTGACAGTGGCTGATGTTGTAATGCAGTCACGAAATGTTTACAGCCATCAGTGGTTCCTCCATTCGAACAACACATCATCGAATCGCCCAAGGCAGTGAATCGTTCCAACAGCAGTTGTATATCGACCGATGGTGCGTGGTTAACATGAGGCATGGAATGATGCACCCTCTCCACGCTTGCGTGAGCTGTTATGACACAATTCCATTCACAAAGCGATGACTGGTTTTGCCATTGTGGTGCATGTAAAATCAATACTGGCTGCACAGTTTTCATAAACCATTCACATACAACATAAAATGTAAAACGGTAAAGATGCAGCCCTACATTTACTTGCTCATGCCACGTAAGTACCTCCCCGTTAGAGAGAGCTGTAGAGTGTCTTTGGCCTACTCTGTGCTAGCCAGACATCTTGAAAGGGGTGGGAGTACTCACACTCTACCGCAACACACATGCCCTGCTGATAGATTCACTGCGGTGCAGCCAGTTATACTGGACTGGTAGGTGGACAAAAGTGGACATTTTAGAAACCTACCCATTGTGTCCTGCCATGCTGGGAGATCGAACCGGTGACCTGGATTGCAAGTGCAGTGCAATGACCAATACTCCATGACGGCATTGTACCTATAAACGTCATTTTTTGTCTGTCTGTGTGTGGACGAAACTTGTGAAGGATTTGGCTCACAAACCGTGGGGTTAACGTTTTAAAAAAGTAGCTGGGTACCACGCGATAAGCCCCATGGTGAGCCAGCGCTATTACGATTTTGCATCCGTCAACTTTAAAGTAGTTTTATTTATTTCCTTACGCCGCTGAGCGCGCGCAAAAGCACACAACTACGCAAGTGCGACAAAGCCGAGACGTGTTGCCCCTATTAACGCGCACGCGTTCTGTGATGGCAAGGGGGGGGGGGGGGGGGGGGGGGGGGGGGAATTCTCATTCGCGTAAAAAATCCAACAAAAAAACAACACTGAGCTACATTATTTTAAGTGTGATGTCCTCCCCCCCCACCCCAATGTGTGCAATTACTACTATAGGGTCGGTAGATACTAATATTATAGCGCTTACGTACTATTACTCCAAGGCGGGCAGGGGGATGGTGGGCGGGGGGGGTGGTTGCGGCCTAGCCCCGGCCAGCCAAGGTGCCACCTCGGCCGGCTGGGCAATCTAGGCGAAGCCGTCGGCTCTGCACGGGACTAGGCCTTACCAGGCCACTGTTAGGTGAGTACTATTTTATTGGTTCTTTCGGTAAAGTCACATAGATAGAAAAATAATCATAAAAATGAAAGTTATTAAAAATAAATGTATCAATTAAATAAAAATAATACATAACTTAAAACCCACTCATGTAGACTGCTTCTTAATCAGAGAGAGTCTACTGGCAGTCTAGAATGTAGACTAGCCTGGTTATTACGTTGGGCGAGTGTACTGCCGGTATATAATGTAGACTGCAGCAATGGTTATTATGCTGGGTGAGTGTAATGCCAGCCTACAATGTGGACTGTTGCCTGCTTTTTACGCTGGTGAGCATATTGCCAGTCTATGATGTAGACTGTGGAAATGGTTGTTAAACTCAGTGAGCGTTTCATAACCATTATAGACTGCCAGTATGCTCACCGAGGTTAAGGACCAGGTTACAGTTTACATTATAGTCGATTTGTCTTGGTGTCTGTGGGAGTCGATGTGTGTGGGTGTTAGTCGACGTGTGTGTGCGAGTCGATGTCTGTATGTGTAAGTCCATGTGTGTGTATAAGTCAATGTGTGTGTAAGTCGATGTGTGTGCGTGGGTCCATGTGTGTGTGTAAGTCCATTTGTTTGTGTGTGTAAGTCCATGTGCGTGTGTGTGCAAGTTGGTGTGTGTGTTTAAGTGAAAATAAAAAAAATTGTGTGTGCGTGTAAGTTGATCTGTGTAAGTTGATGTGTGTAAGTTGATGTGTGTGTCGATGTGTGTGGGTCCATGTGTGTGTAAGTCGATGTGTGTGTACGTCGATGTATATGTGTGTGTTTGTGAGTCTGTGCGTTTGAGTCCATGTGTGTGTGTGTGTCTTTTTCGCCCGGGCAATGCCGGGTACTTCCCGCTAGTCCCTTATATAATGTAAAATGCAATGCATTCGTCAATTGAAATAGCGCTCGAGAAATAAACTTTTACTGTAAATACAATTTAAAAAAACATTGATAATTAAACTAATCAGTTCACAAGTACACGATTAGCTACGTGGATTATTAGAATATAAGAACTGACTAATTGATGAAACTGTCAAATCTATAGAATAACAAACCAGTCTGTCTCTTTCTTTGTACAACGACACCTCACCACACAGACTCTGGGAGGTGTGATTTATGGTCCAAAAACAGGTGAAGACTTGCCAGTTAAGGTAAAAAGAGTGAGAAAAATACACAAAAGATTAACAAAAACAAAAATAAATTCGTCCTGGGCTGGAGGAATGGGGCTGTGACCTTTACCCCCGACGATCGCTGATGCTGTTGCTGCTTTTATTCTTCGGATGCTTGTGAATTATGCAGCAGCGCAGTGCGTAAAGAAATACAATGGAGAAATAGCATGAAGAGTGATGTGCGTACGTTTATGGCTGCTCCCAGTGAATGGCGTGGTGAATGACCGCCCCCCTGAAAAGGGTTTGATGGCACAGGCAGGGTCTCTCACAGTAATTTTCATGCCAATTTTTGTTATACTGGGTGCTATTTAAATTAACCTGGTTATTATTTCCAGCTCAACGTCCGTCGTGTTGCTCCTCCTCGTAGCAACTTTCCCAATGCAGCGGCGCGGCATCTGCGATGTGACTTGCGGTCGCACCCCCCCACCCATCCTCCCCCTCTCCTCCCTTGCGCCCATCCCTCCCCATTACCTTGGGAGTTGGGCTCCGGCAGTGTTTCCCTGGCAACCAGGTGCATGACCGTCGTCTTTCCCATGGGAAGCTTAAGAGCTGGGGCAGGGTGGGGAGCGGGGTGGGAGAAGAACGGGAATGAAGAGCACGGCGATGTCAGTTGGAGCACTGTCTCAGCCCCAGTGCAAGCGACGAGAGGCACCATCAACGGGCAAGCAGTTCCTTCTCACAATGGCACCCAGTGGATCGCTTGATTCGCACAACGGCTCAAAGCCACTCAAGGAAATTCAGCGAAAATTGCTCCGGGGTTTTAAAACCAGACACCGCTCGTTTGGCCAGGATGGCAAAATTGGGCTGGGAGGGACGCGCAAGGATCTGTGTGTGTGTGTGTTTTAGTGTGGTATATAATAACTGCTGGTGGATGAGGCTCATCTGTGCCATTAAGAATGGTCGGAGAGGTGCTGTTGCAGGTGACAGGACTGTCCTGTGCTCCTACAACGTTGCCAAGCCAGTTGCTTAATCGTTGCTGGTTGCACATTAAGGCTGAGTTAACGATGGTATCTTCACATTGCATTTATGGAGCACCATCTCACCCATGCAATAAACATGGTGCTGAAGGGACAGCACTTATCTCGACTTAAAGCTTTCGTGACTGCAGGAATGAATATTCTTTGGGTCTTTCAGTAAAGTCACGTAGATAGGTTAAAAGAAAATAACAAAACTACGACGTTTCGACCACAACACGAGCAATCGTCCCGATGACGATAGCTTATGTTGTGGTTAAAAAGTTGTAGTTTTTTGTTATTTTGTTATTTTCTTTTAACCTATCTATGTGAATTTACCGAAATACCCAAAGAATAGCACTTATCTCCCCATACAGCAGTCACACCTTGTCCAGGATCATCCATCTGCTCCATTGAATAACAAACCATGGCACTTCATGGTGGAGTCACACAGCCAAAGGTAATTCTGATTACACCGGTTAGAAAAGCCCCATAATAAAAAATGCAATGCCTGGTCTCGGATCCAGCCTCATTCATCCCGAGCAGTAGACAGCTTGCAGAAAGTTAAATGCACTCTACCTTTGTCATAAGAGCTCCATCTCCAAGGTCGCATAACTCCTACTGCATCCACTCCCTTTATCCCTTCCAACAATCCCTTATCCCCGATCCACAGACTCTCATTATGTACAGTGCAAATACAAAGAGTCTGAGGTTAAAGCAGGTATCCCAGGCTTCATTCGTTTTCACCAGAGGTCATGCGGTTCCTTTGGCCATTATTACGCCATCCATCGGTTTCGTTAAATTAAAGCTTCCGTGTGGCTTCACAGGATCCTCTGACAGGCTCTAAAACTGCAATGTTGGCAATGAACACCTGACTATACAAATCAATGAGTTGATGGGCCAAACACAACCCAAGCCCCAGCATTGTGCTGCATCCCAGACTCTTATGTGCAATCTTTCAAAACAATGTCAATTATGAAAAATATGAGATAATTTTATTTTATTATTTTATTCTCATTCTACGTGAGTTTACCGAAGAACCAAAGAGGAAAAATGTTGTTTAATGTTGGGCTATTGGCGAGTATACTCATAAATAAGCCACCCAGCTGTAACTGTTGAAATACATTTGCGCGTGTAACATTTTTCACGATTTCACAGCTTTGAGCCAGGGGTGACGTGTACATTCAATAATTGCCCGTTATATTTTACCCAGATTTGCAGCCTTTGGTAAAGTTATGCAATAATTTATTGTAATAAATTGTAAACGTTTGCCATCGAATAGTACAGCAGCCTCGAAAATATGTCACAGGAGGGATATTCAAACAAAAAGCTTTGGACCTCTTGTCATCACCAGTAGTGGCACTGAATCAGTGGTTGGAATTCCACATTCCTACGACAGAGACAGTTTAGCATGAGCGGTAATTATTGGAAATGCAACTCGTTCAGACGATACATTGCTCATCTGCATTACCTGAGAGAGTGACGGTGCCATGCAGAAACCGGCCCTGGTAGATGAGCCTCAGTATGTTGGGACTGCTCACCTGCTCCTCCTCCCAGTCTATACCACACACATAAACATATGTGGACAAATATGAAGGCCGGCACGGCACACGAGGGGGTGGGTGGCTAGCACCATCATCAGCCACTTTTGTCTCCACAGTATTGTTATTCACACACAGCACCAGGTACTAATTTAAGGCTAAGTTGACCTAGAGAAGGCCCATGACTGGTTCAGTTGATTGCTATGGATGTTCGCTGTGGCAGGCGATCTGAGTTAAATTACAGGAATTGAGACCCAATGAGGGCCCTAAATACTTCAATAATTACCTGATTATTATAAGTATTGTATTACATTTGTTGTGGAATCCACTGAAACCTATGTTTCTGGAGGACTCGGGTCGCTGGATTCGTGGCACGGTGCACTAACTACTGCACCGCAAACCCAGCGTCCTGAATTAGATGATTGGCCACAGCTTACATCAAGTGGCGAGTGAGATCTGACCTTATCCTGGGCTCCCCCTTCACCAACCCGCATGAACCAGTGTGGTGAAGTATGTTCAAACAATCATTTTATTTATTCCTATAATTGCATTATCTTTTTTGTCATCTGTATTGTCATGAATGAAGCAATTTAAAGTCACGAACACATTATTGGGCTGTATCACTTTTTTTAAGTCCTTTACCAAAGTGGATCCTCATGAAAATTGCTGTGGACTCTTTGAGAGGCATCAGTCTTGGGATGCTTGACCAATTCATTAATGAGGATATCTGATGACGCCTCAGGAAGTTGAATTTTATTCTTTCGTATGGCTGATGTAGATGCAGAGCAACAACAACAACAATTTCACATTCAGGTGGCCAAGTCAGACAACCGCATCAGGAGCAGCGGAGTGTATCGCTGTGATGTTTCCTTCGTATTTGTGGATCGGGCATTGTGTCATATTGTACGGTCTGTTCTGGATGACCACAGTCGCATCCTCGAACTTTAAATTTTCCATTTGTGCATCAGGTATCCGCATCTGCCATGGTTTGTGCAGTTGGTGTTGAAGGTGGACCATGAACTTTGTGGAAGATCAAACCCAGAGATCTTCTGCGTTAGGTCTTTCACAAGGTGTTTGTGAGTTCTTCTCAACTCCATTCAGCTCTCCAAGCTTCATCGGGGTCGAAGTCGCATTGTGGAAGGTTAAGAGCATGGGTCCAAAAGGGCTTGCATGACTTACCATGTTGAATGAATGCGAGAAACATCAGCAGGGTAAGGACTCCCACTTCCCTACCACTCAAGCGATTAAATTGTTAGGATTCAGGGTCATGTTTCCAAAGGAGATTTTTATTTTATTTTACAATTCAGTTAATGCAGCAGTCACTAATGGCTGCAGGGGTCGCACGAACCCAGCATATACAACATATGTGAATTGAAAAACAATGATTCCTACATGTGCCATCAATGTATTTTATGAGCGCTTAAGAATAAATACTAATTCATGAAAAAAATCCTCGTCACACCTCTACTACACCTACACGTAAGGTCCTTTTGTCAATCCGCTGCTGGATAAGGGCCTCCTTCCAATGCTGTAAGGGTCATGGGGAGTTTGTGACCATACTTTACCATGCCAGTCAGTGTGGGTGGGTGAAGACGACAGCATAGACGGATCAAAGTACAGTACAATATTGAATTTTGTCGCACAGCCCTCTGCTGTGAATATAGACCCACACCTCTATTAGAAAGCTGAAATAAAATGACCCTATTTATAAAACTATAAAAAATGGCATAACTAAGAATACTGAATAAGCCTAATGTGGTTTTCTTAAATGTACATCTTATATATGTTTTATTCCACTCTGTGAAAGGGGCAGGGAAATTAAACTCTGTAAGTAGGTTACAGGAAGATGACGAGGATGCGACTGAAGACGCTGGACTAAAATTAAGTCGGGAGCACGACATCAGCCACTGTGAGATTCACACAGTCGCCTCTTGCTATGGAGCAGAGCATCCTAACACACGTCAGCGTGAGCAATCGCAAGGGGCTCCTCGCTTGCTCCAAACCCAACCATGACTTGCAGCTCGGTGTTCTCTTTGGGTGGAAGATTTCGCAACAAACTGGTGGCGGCGGTGGCATGGCTGTGATGTAACGGCGACAGCCACAGCTCCAACCGCTCACACCAATCCACACCCTGCCCTCAAACAGCATTCCTACAGCTACATTTCCAGTGAGCATGGTTGTAATATTTGATCATTTCGCCCATAGCCCCACAGCGATATTTTACTGTTTTAAAGGCATACCGAAAATTAAACGGTCCAAATTATCAGCCAGGGTAATGCATGGCCTCTACAAAATCAAAGCTGAGGAGGCTTGATCTTTTAACTCGCTATACAAATGCACAACTTAATATTCTTTAATCTTGGGTTTGTTAGAAAGGTTGTCGTGTAGCCCAGTGAATTTGAAGACGGTGAGCAAAACATCTTTCTAAAAAAATGTATTAAATTGTACTCAGCCCCAGGAGAAGGGCATGTAGTGGCGGAGAGAGGCAGGGTGAGAAGGGCTCACTGGAGTGGTCACAGATGCTCCTTTGATGGAAAACCCAAGTATCCCAAAATACAGGTTTACCCACTGCGTGAAGATTTTGCTCACACACGCTGTTCTTTATTTCCCCAGGAAGGCATCATTTGTGAATAAAGACCCTTTCTCATGAATGTTTTGGTCAATTTAGTGTTCTGCATGTGGAAGGAAACCCAATGGGGTAACGCAAGCTCGGGACATTGCTCAGAAACCTACACTACTTTCTTCCTCCCACAAATTAAAAACACTCAATCTCTGAATAAAGAATGGGGCAAACATCGCATGCCTTCTTTGGTTCTTTCGGTAAAGTCACGTAGAATGAGAATAAAATAATAAAATAAAACAATAAAAATCTCATGATGTTTCGGCCACAACACAAGTAGCCTTCAGGTGAAGGAACAAAACTGTCGGGACGACAGAGCTTTAATGAACGCTGCTAAGATTACTCGATTAGTTGAGCCTTCTTGTCCTGGAGTTTGTTGAATGATCTTAAGGTTGTGTGGAATCCCTCCCCGTAGAGGCGTTTAAATTTCGATTTAAAGCTTTCGTGACTGCAAGGATTCATCTTCTTTGGTTCTTTTGGTAAAGCCACATGGAATGAGAATTAAATAATAAAATAAACAATAAAATTTTCACGACGTTTCGGCCACAACACAAGTAGCCTTCTTCAGGTGAAAGAACAGAACTGTCGGGACGACAGTTCTGTTCTTTCACCTGAAGAAGGATACTTGTGTTGTGGCCGAAACGTCGTGAGAATTTTTATTTTATTATTTTATTCTCATTCTACGTGACTTCACCGAAAGAACCAAAGAAGATGAATTCTGAAGAAGGCTACTTGTGTTGTGGCCAAAACGTCGTGAGAATTTTATTATTTTATTTTATTATTTTATTCTCATTCCACGTGACTTTACCGAAAGAACCAAAGAAGATTAATCCTTGCAGTCACAAAAGCTTTAAATCGAAATCGCATGCCTTGTTCCAACCACCACTGGAAAGTGAGCCGGTTGGGTTCACAAGTCAGGCAAGTGGGCTTTGTCAAGGTCTTTGTGGTACCATTACTGAGCTAAGCCAAGACTAATTGGGCCGTGTGGCTTGCTTGCTTTGCTGAGCGAGTGACTGTTGCACGCTTTTACTCAGGCCATTCTCTGAAACTTTCGTGATGTCAAGGGGTCAACGTGGAAGAGAGATGCTGGTCAATGATGTCCCTCGTCTTGGTCAACTTCAGGATTTTAGCCTGGGATCACGTAACCTAACCCCTGTATGATTAAAACCTTATTAAAATGTGTGTGTGTATATTATATGTTTATTGTTTTATGATCGCTTCCCTTTGGCTGTGGAGGGTGGAGAAGAGGCGGATTCCACAGAGCCACGTGGCGCACTAAACATTGGTCAGTACAGGTTGGTGACGGCTGGGAGCATAGACAATGGGCATAGAAAAATAAATACATTGGATTTTTCTGTACTGCCCTCTTATGTGCAACACAACGTTTTTTTAGCAGCCTATAACACCTATTTTTTGCAATGACGATCGCCCATCCATGCCCTATCTTGAGCTCAAGTCCTGCTGAGCTTGCAATGTTTGATGAAATCGTGTGCTTTACGGATGATTCACTCAAAAGGCATTTGAATAAACATGTACCTTTAAGATTGGATCTGCACTCTGTGCATCAGCACAAGAGCAAATGCCCCGATGAAGCACATCCATTGCACTAATGGAAATCCTGAGCGACGCTGAGAAGTGCCGTTCTAATCTAATCGAATGGCCTGTAAGAGGGCACCTAATGGTGTGCAATCACAAGAGTGTCAGATGAGTTTAAATCTGCCACTGTGATCAAGAATCCCCCTGTTCCAACGCCCAGTAAGTCAGCCCCATAAAGCATCATGGCACTCATAACCAGCGCAGACTTGGTGCAACTGTAGCTGGAAAATTACTATGGACTAATTGTGCACAAGTCTCTTAAACCACCGTGTTTATGTGAAGTGCTGAGTGGCTATTGGCCCTGTCGGCTGCGGAATGTGCAGCAATTCAGTTGCACATTAACTAGGTATCTCTGTCCTATAAACCCACACTCAATTTAGAGCCGTGCCCTACCACTGTCATCACTTATGGGACCCGTTATAAAATAAGAGCGATGCTGGTAAACTATGCAAGGCAGCTGGCTGTGTGTGTGTTGCTGCAATGCGGCTGTGGAGAACAGGTGACTTGTGTGAGCATGGTACGAAGCAGTTCGATAAATTCCCGCGGTTCGGAGTCGTCCTTCGATTCAAGAGTCGACGCGTTTTCTTGACTTGATTTTCCCCGTGGAATTTTTGTTTCGTTTCCACATCTTTTCTTTGCTTCAACAAGCATATCTTTAGCATATAATTTACAGCTAATTATCAAATGCACAATTATTTGTATGCACAGTACAGTTTTGTGAACACAGAAAGGGGAAATAATGGACGGTGGTTGGGAAAAACGAGTGCTGAACTTTGTTCTTTAATCATAAAGGTAAAGGTGCCGCCCTGCATTTTGCTTCTCAACGGCACTGATGGTGGACGGCCCTCCAATAGGGGGAGCTCTGTAGAGCCCCTCTAGAGGGTATTTGTCCTACCCATTCAAGCTGACCAGACGTCTTGGAAGAGGTGGGAATATCCACAATTTATCCCGCAATACGTGACGTGCCAATCGACTGTGCTGGACCCATCTATACTGCTGGGTCGACAGAGGCGAGGGAATTTGAGAAACTTGCATCATTGCTGAGCCGCGGTTGGCTAGGTACGGTGCGAAAGAAGCTCAACATACATATGTAGAGGAGTACCCAATGAGGGGTGAGCGCGGGAAGAGGTGCAGGCCAAGGGATGAGTGGCGGAGGGTCGAGGCATGATGGGAGCGGGGGCGTAAGACGTCCGCCAAGGGGGGAGCTGGCGGAAGTAATGGGCCCCGGGCAGGGGGGATATAAAGGGGGGACATCGGGAGAGAGAGGGTGAGAGAAAAAGGAAGAGCTGAAGGAAGATGTCCCGGGCACAGAGAAGAGAGGGTGCTATGGGCTGAGGAGGTCGGACCTCGCTCTCGGGCGGTGTGGGTTGACCTCCCGCCTGGAGAAGACGAGAGGGGAGACCGAGGGGTAGCCCTGACAGGATAGTTGTAGAAGGGGTGAATGGACGGGGTGTAGCTTGTACCCGTCACAGGTGGAAGTGTGGAGTGGAGAGAGAGTGAATAGAGAGGAGAGCACAAGTGAGTAAATGGCAAGCGGCCCTGAGTAAAGATCTGGTCTCCGTTTAGTTCTGTAATACTCATCGGCATCAAGGAGAACTACACTACACATATGTCGTGACGGTATATATGCCACTAGGGGGATAGAGCGCTGAACAGGGTGAAGGAAATGCAGCGCTGAACAGGGTGAAGGAAAGGCGCGGAGATGATCGAGGGTCGAGTGTAATGACGGTATATCCGCCACTAGGGGGATAGAGCGCGCAACAGGTTAAAAGGGGAGCGTGGAGATGATCGGGGGTCGATTGAGTGAGTAACGTTCGGTGGGTCGGGTCACTTCGTCGGGTCGTGGAAATGCAATAGCCTCGTGTATAGGGGGTTACGTAGTGACAAGGACGTCTACAACAATTATAGAACCAGCTCTGAAAAGGTCCTGATTATAGGAAGTGTTAATAAACGGATTGCCTCCAACCACGTAGTGTCATCTTCTTGGTTCTTTCGGTAAGTCACGTAGAAGGGAAATAATAAAGTAATAAAAATAAAGCATTAAAAAAATTCCCTTCTACGTGACTTTACCGAAAGAACCAAGAAGATGAATCCCTGCAGTCACAAAAGCTTTAAATCGAAATTTAACCACGTAGTTTCTTCATTGAAGAGCACTACACATATAATGGGTAGCCCAGCAGAACACGTGGGTACAAAGGTAAGATTCACCCCCCCCCAACTCTTAGTGTTTTCCGATCCGTCGAATAATTAATTGGACTGATTTGTAACTTTTATCCTTACCCATGCATCGATAGTAAAATTTTAATGCACAATTTTATTGAGGAACTGTGGGTTGTCTTGATGTGTTCTGGAACTGTTTTTGTTTTTCTACCTTGCTAAAAATTTCATTTGGTGTTGAAAAATAGGCAGGAATATATGCACTTAGGCATTTTGTTCTTATATATATTATTTATTTATATTTGTTGACTTTCTTAGCTTTCCTGTATTTTAATGTCGGTTTTTGTATTGTTTGCTGTTGTAACTTTATGACTGGCCACTAATGGACATCTGAAAAAGAGCTTCATAGCTCATCGGATTCTTCCAGTCTAAATAAAAATTCTGATTCTGAGTGATCGATTACTTAAAACATCGTATAGTCAATATCTAATAGGGGCCAATAATTCCACTGAACAACCACTCTTGATCTCTCATTACGCAGCACTGATATTATACTGGGATCAGAATCGGTGACTTCATGAACGCGATTGCTCCAATCACAGCACCGGCACGTGGCAGGACAAAGACAACGACAAAGATCCCCTGTGTAGCCTTAAACTGTTGGGGCAAGTGCTGTTAGTGAGCACCTATGAAGGCCGGCATGGCACACGGAGGGGGTGGGTGGCCAGCACTACGCCCGACCGCCTTTGTCTCCCTAGTGGCGAAATTTACATACCGCACCAGGTATTCATTTGAGGCTGAGCCGATCTAGTGGAGGCCCAGGACCGGTTCAGATAATCGTCATTGGTGGTGGCCATCAGCAGGAATTTAACCTGGGTCACTGAGTTTGTAGCACAGTGCTCTAACCGCTACCCTACCGCTCCCCACGTGGCAGGACACACAAACACATACACACACGAGGTGGCATTACAATGGGGCCGACTGTTGCACAAAGACGCAACAGAGAGCAGTGGCAGTTGAGCACGGCGTGCAGGGCTCACCGACTGGCCAATTCTCGTACACGTGCCGGGCGATATCAGCCGCCGAGTCCGAGGGAGCAAACAGGAACTCCTTGGTCCGCCCGCTCACAAGGATGAGCCGCAGGTTCATCTGCAGATACAAAGACAGATCCCCCGTGCAGCTTTAACAGACTGTTGGGGCAAGTGCTGTTAGCGAGTCGTGCTCATGAAGGCCGGCACGGCACAGCACACGAGGTGGTGGGTGACCGGGACCACGCTCGGCTGCCTTTGTCTCCTTTGTGGTGATGTTTACACACTGCAGCAGGTACTCATTAGAGATCGAGTCGACCTATATCAACACGGTCACCACCTGCCTGCAGGTGTCTCCACTGGATAACACATCTAAAAAGTTAAGGTGTAGCCCTGAAAGAGCCTGCTCATGCCATTGCTGGCAGCAGAGGCTCCCACTAAAGGGAGCTGTGGACAGCCCATCTAGAGGGTATTTTGGCCGATGTCGGCACGCTGGAACAGATGAGAGTACCCACATTTTACCCCACCACGTGACAAAAAATAAGAGCCTACTTTTCGAATGATAATTGTCAAGTTCGTTAATGTCCACTTCACAGCATCTGTCAGAATGTTGACATTCGCATGACAAAAACCGGAGCAGTCATATTTTAAACATTTAACAAGCACCCTGGGCTAAAACCAGAGTTGTTTTTGGTATATTATGTGAGGGCACAACGTACAGCAAAGTCCAAAAGTCCATTATGTAACTGCAAGCAGTGAGAAACACATCAATTATGCTTAAGGTCATTCCACACTGCAACTCACATATTCCGTGTCATAACAAATAGCAATGGCTTAGAAATCAACTCGAGGTTGAGCGCTGAATGCTAGAAAACAATTAAATGCACAGGAGATGCGGTGTGGATCCGAGATCGATATTTCTCAAACTCCCAGGCTCACACCTACAACCCAGCCTCGACTAAACTGACAGCCGCGTGCCGCCCACTCTGTCCGATTTATAACCGAGCAGAGGAGAATGTGCGGTAAATGGAGAGCTGGGATGCGAGGAGGCATCACAGATACAGAACCTTGAGAATATTTCAACATGTTGGACCACCAGTGCCTATAATGTTGGACAACCAGAAGTGCTTTGTGATAAGTTTGTTGTCCTTCCCACATACCTCCGATAACCATGGCTGGATATGTATGGTGCGAAAGAAGTTCTACTTATATACCTACATACACAAGGTACGCTCAGTGTAATGTCAGCACGAAAAATAACAGGCAGCTTAACCAGCATCCCTCGCAACACTGGGTCCCTTCCTCATGAATCAGCTTGGCACACAGCTCCAGGAAAAGGTGCTGAGGAATACTCTTTGGTTCTATTCGGTAAAGTCACGTAACAAACAACAAAAAATTAACGACGTTTTGGCCACAACACAAGTAGCCTTCATCAGGTGAAGGGACCGTGCTGTCATGAGGACAGCGTTGGAGTAAAAACAGCCAAGCCCAGGTCGCATCCTTTAAGCTGTGTGGGAGGAAGCAAAGCGCTTGACAAAGGAATTAGTATAGAAATGTGCACGATATACGTAGGAGGTGTATGGGCCATGATGGACCAGGAGCGGGTGGGGACCATAACGGACCAGCAGCAGGGGGGGGGGGGGGAGTAGAGTGAGTGAGTGGAGTGAGTGAGTGAGTGGAGTGAGTGAGTGAGTGGAATGAGTGGAATGAGTGAATGGAGTTAGTGGAGTGAGTGAGTGGAGTGGGTGGAGTGAGTGAGTGGAGTGAGTGAAGGGGACAAGACTGTCCAGAGGACAGCGCTGGAGTGCACACAGTCAAGCTCAGACCGCGACATCTAAGCTGTGTGAGAGGAAGCCGAGCGCCCTGACAAAGGAATTAGCATAAAAGTTAGCATTTCATTGGCGGACTTAGAATGAAGGACGATGTACTGGGGAGCATGTGCAGACAGGCGAGGGGGGAGCCCACATATTGATGGTGTGAAAAGGGAATTTAAGCAGCTGCGAAAGTTTGGGATACCACTACTTAAAAAAATATACTGTACCATTGAAAATTAGCTTAATGTCTGGTTTGATTCAGAACATCTTTCCAATGGTTGCTTAATTGATGGAACCAGGAGCAGGTGGGGACCATGACGGACCAGCAGCGAGGGGGCGGGGGGGGGAAGTAGAGTGAGTGAGTGGAGTGAGTGAGTGGAGTGAGTGAGTGGAGTGAGTGAGTGGGGTGAGTGAGTGAGTGGAGTGAGTGAAGGGATCAGACTGTCCAGAGGACAGCGCTGGAGTGCACACAGTCAAGCTCAGACCGTGACATCTAAGCTGTGTGAGAGGAAGCAGAGCGCCCTGACAAAGGAATTAGCATAAAAATTAGCATTTCATAGGCGGACTTAGAATGAAGGACGATGTACTGGGGGGAAGCATGTGCAGACCGGTGAGGGGGAGAGGGGGGGGAGCCCACATTGATGGTGTGAAAAGGGGGAATTTAAGCAGCTGCGAAGGTTTGGGATACCACTACTTAAAAAATATACTGTACCATTGAAAATTAGTTTAATGTTTGGTTTGATTCAAAACATCTTTCCAATGGTTGCTTAATTTGAAACCATCTCAGTTGAATTTGTGTCTGTGTTTGTAAATCTGAATTGCCTCGTGAACAAATCCACTGATAAAAACCCGTGGGTTTGCAAAGAACCTTGGTATCGGAGAAAATTATATCGTGATCACCCACAGTGTTGTAACAGTGATCAGCTACGGCAGAAGAATTCGTTCTGCCGTGTTTCAAATCTGATTTGTGCTCGCGGATTCGGTCAGAGACATGTCGTTTCGTCTCCCCGATATAGCAGTCACCACAGGTGCAGATCAATTTGTAAACTCCGGGGTACTGTAAGTCAGGAATGACATCCTGCTGAGGAATGGCCGCTACGTTTGGAGCCATGCATCTCGAGTGTTCTTCTTTATGTGATGACTCTGTAGACCCAGCTGACCTCACGGTCGCATGGCATCTGACTTGTCAGCTGCCAGTAGCTGGGTGGGAATTCTCTCCCAGCCTACAAGTTTTTCAGTGCTTTAGAAATACCACTTCAGAATGTGTCACTGCACACGGAGTTATAAGCTCTGAATGCTGCTGCTGTTCCTGAAAACACTGGGAGCAAAAATAAAGGGCCGATTTTAGAAAATTCCTCGGCTACTACACACGGGCTGTGAAAATGTCAGCTTATTCTTTGCATCGTGTCGATTTTTTTCGCACATCATTAAACCTGGTGGTGATGATGTGATGCTGCTGAGTACTGATAGTCCCTGAGTTACGATGGTCCGACTTACGATATTTCGATCTTACGATGGCATTCGCGATAGGACAAAATAGTAAACTATTTTCCATTTCGCGCAGCAGACAAACGCAGCAGCGTACGAATCTTGGTGAGTACAGTACAATATGATACGTTACGATACGTTCAATGCATGTATGATACGTAGCTTTTGTGATTTCATTTTAGGGTTACCACGATACGATACGTTCAATGCATGTGTAGTGGAGTAGGAAGGTGCGTAGTGGAAACAGCGTGATTACATGATAACAGACAGTACGGGTTATGTTGGATCAGCCTGTAGCGAAGGCAAATACAGTACAGGTTATGTGAGGGCAATTAAGCTGGGAGAGCCAAGGACGGCTGTGATTGGTTGGTGCTGTTGCCAAGGCTGGAGGGGCGTCTTGAAGTCTGGCGAGGAACAGGTGTACGGTCACGCGGAGTGCCGTTGGGATGCGGTTTAATTAATTGGGGAGTAATGAGAGCGGGGATAAATTTGGGAGTCGGCAATTGGAGCGGGGAGTTGAAGTTGGGGAGCTTGGAGTGAACAGGGGAAATTGAAGTTGGAGTCAACAGCGGGGAATTGAAGTGTGGAGAGCTTGGAGAGAGAGAGTTGGAGGGACAGAGTTTAGGGGAGACGGAGTTGGAGACGGAGCTTGAAAACAGCTTAGTGATAGCGGAGCTGAAGAAGAGAAGCAGCCAGCAGTGGAGAGAGCATAGTGATAGCGGAGCTGAAGAAGAGAAGCAGCCAGCGGTGGAGAGAGCGTAGCGATAGCGGAGCTGAAGAAGAGAAGCAGTTAGCAGTGGAGAGAGCATAGTGACGGTGATAGCGTAGAGCAGAGACGAAGCAGTTAGCAGTGGAGACAGCATAGTGACGGTGATAGCGGAGAGCAGAGACAAAGCAGTTAGCAGTGGAGAGAGCATAGCGGCAGTGATAGCGGAGAGCGGAGACGAAGAAGTTAGCGGCGGAGTAAGCGAAGTCATTATTGTTGGTAGCTTAGCTGATTGGAGAATATAGAGCTTATTGATAACATTAAGGTAATTTATATTTTAAGTTTTTTTATTGGTTCACTATATAGTATTCATTATACATTATATTGTATACACAGTTACTGTGAATAGCTCAGATGTGTAGACCTTGACTTCAACATAGCCATTTCTGTGACCAGTCACTAGCTAATCACTCAGTTATTTCAATGCTAAATTCGCCTAGTTATTTCAATGCTAAATTCTCCTGTTTGATTTGTACTAGGTGCCTCAGTGAATGTGTATGCTCTGACTTTAACATAGCTATTTCTGTGACCAGTTACAAGCTAATCACTCAGCTATTTCAATGCTAAATTACATGCTAATTCCTTTGTCAAGGCGCTTTGTTTCTTCTGACACAGCTTAAAGGTCGTGATCTGAACGTGGCTTTTTTCACTCCAGCGCTGTCCTACCAGACAGTCTCGTCCCTTCACCTGATGAAGGCCGCTTGTGTTGTGGCCGAAACGTCGTGAGAATATTGTTATTTTATTTTATCAATTTATTATTTTATTCTCATTCTACGTGACTTTACCGAAAGAACCAAAGAATATTGAAGACATGCTAAGAGTTGTAAATAAAGCGGTGTTCGAAGAAAGACAAAAGTTGTCCGAGTGAAATCGAACACTACATTTGGTGTCAGAGTGACTACGAACCATGCCGAGATGTCAAAGAAGGCGGCCAAGAAGAAGAACGTGCCGGTGGACTCGTCCGACGACAGCAACGACGAGGACGTGCTGCCCGTGTCCGGCCAAGTGGCTGATACTCCTCCGGAGGGCCTGGTCGAACGAGAGTCTACAGAA